GTGGGGAGGTGTGGGGAGGGGGGGAAATTATTAAAAGATTGGGTGTTTTTTTTTTCTTGTACTTCCGCCATTTTTAGGTCACCGGCTTTGTAAAGCCTGGCTTAATTCGTTGAGAATGCGCTCTAACAGTCAAAACCGGGGTGAAGATATTTTAGTTGACTGCTGCTCAGGGGTTAATACTCATCTAGGGGCATATCCAGAAATAATAAAAATTAATTTCAAAGTCCTTCAATGTAATAATTCAAATTGTACTTTTTTATAAATACTGACAAATTATAGAATGAAAACTAGGATAAATCAATAATACACTAATATTCCTGCACATACAGCCCCGTAATGTTACTTACATTTAGTGTCTTTCCTTTAGGCAAATAATAAAATTTTTAAAAAATATGCTTAAATGACAATGTCTTTATTAGACAAAGTAAACTATTTGGTCAATTAGGCAAAATGCCCATGATTGTGTGAGAGACAAAGACTTTAAAATGCATTCATATTAATAAACATGTACATGATTCTTAGGTGGAGGCCTGCCAAGATGCTAACTACCACCTGACCCAGGAGAAGTCCACCTTCTCTGGTCAGTTAACTCAGTTAGGGCAGGAACTCCAGCTGATGAAGACATCAATGGAGGCTTATCTCTCCGAGTTCTCCACCATGAAACAGGAAGTCAAAAACCTCACTGATATTAGTAAGTGATTTCAACTTCATATGCATTACTAAATTGAGTCAAGCCCAAATTAAAGATCTTCTTTCAGATATATTCCAAACTTGGGTTCTCTGACCATAAACAAATACTTCTGCGTTCTTTTCCAAGCTGCTGACATTCCCTATTTTTACTACTACCGAGACATCCTTGCTCAAGCATCGTGCGCAGCCCTCAATGCCAGAGGTGGCTGGGTGTACGCTGTCCGCAGGGTCTGCAGTGATAAGGCTCCGCCCTGCTCATCTGTGTGTGCCAACAGAGCACTTTCTAATCAGGATAACCAAGTGAAGGCTAATGGGTAGGAAAAGTCTCAGGATTTAATTTCAGTTTAACTTCATCAAACATATATGAGTCTGATATATAATATATAATATGCAGATATATTTTGAAGGAAAATATTTCTTCCTTTAAATTACTGAGACACATTCCATTTAAAAAAAATCTAAATGTAAAAGATAATTTGCTTGAACAATATTGCAAACCATATGTCCCAAAGGTTTTTTACATGAAAGTTACCCAGGTTATACACAAATATTATTCTAGAATCATATCCACGATTAAAGACATAAATATCTGTTGCAGACTGGAGTGTTTTAACGCCCTTCATGTGTACAGTGCCCAGCGCCTGTCTCCAAACCCCAGCATGGACACTGACACCCTGGGGCTGAAGACCCATCGCTACAACTCATGTGGAGGTCGACACTGTGGGCCGAACTACTGCTGCTGCCGATCAAAGTGAATTCTTTAAACTAGGATGATGACCTACCATCAACATAGCTAAGGACATATCAATGTACTGTTCCATTATGTAGCAATAAATATGGTTAAATATTCAAACTGTTGTTGCTGTGTGTGTGTAGTCTTATGTTTTCCTGCATGGCTCCATGTGTTTCAATTACATAATTATTCTCTATGACAGCAAGGATTGCTTCTTCAAAGTTAAATTTAATTTCACTACAAAATAGAAAAGCACTCAGAGAGCGCAAACCTCCACCAAGGCAGCAAAGTCTCTATCCAACGCCGTTTTACCCCTATATTTTCGATATTTTTGATAATTGATTATTGACTGATTATTGATCTGGATCACCACCAAAAACTAATCATCTGTTCCTTGACCCACTTCTGACAGTTCCTGAAAATTTCATCAAAATCGGTCCATAACTTTTTGAGTTATGTTGATGACAGACAGACAGACAGAAAGACAAACAGGGGTGAAAACATAACCTCCTTGGCGGAGGTAATAAATAAATAAATAAATAAAATAAATAATAATAATAATAACAATAAATAAAATAAAATAAAAATTTAAAAATTATGGACAAGCCGAGGAATAAATAGCAGTCCAAAAAAGCTGCTGTATAGCTCACCATGAAGAATATTAGACTTGGAATCTTGTGTGAGTAAACGACAGGAGTCGATGAAATCACTGGCCTCCAGGTTTGGGTGAGAGCTGCTCAGACGGCAAACAGGGACAGTCTGGAACCAATGACCAAAGTTTTAGAGAGCTGGTCAAGTCCATGACAACAAAGTTTGGCTGACCACAGGTCAACTAACAGTGTGATGCAGTATTTAGGAGATGATGTTCTCCCCCCCCTCTTTCCCCCTCTATAGTCCCCAAGAAAAGTGATGACAATATGTTGCAGTCTGAGAATACATATTACACACTTGACATGGGTGTGAAAGGTGAGTGCAACTGAGCATCACTTTCCCAAAGTTTTTAGGAAAACAATTTTTTTTCAATGAATACATGTACAAGTAAGTTGAGCCTGATGGTGGACTACCGTCTTTTTAACTCCTATTTTTGGATGATGAAAATAATAAATAGATACACAAATTGTTTAAAAACAGCTATAGAACTAACCATAAGGGATTTCAGGGTCCTGATGTCTTTGTTGGTTGCAAACTGTCTTTTTAACACGTCCAGCAAAGAGGCTTCTTTGACAAGTGATTCAACATTCTTGTTCCAAGTCTGCACAAATTTTAAATCTCCAAAATCCACTGGCAAACATAAAGATAGTTTAAAAACCCTTAAATACTCCTCAAATGTCAGCTTATTGAAGATATATATCTGGCGATGAGAAAATCTGGACTTAACACGCTTCTCCAAAAGTTCAATCACATCTAGGCGACACGTTAAACCGATGACGCAGATTGGAGCTTGGGCAGACTGCGCTATGTCAAACAGATTGTATAACAGAGTTTGATTGCGATGATGTGCAAACAAGTCAAATTCGTCCAGTATGAAGATGATGGGTTTGCTCTGCTGACCTCCGCTCTTCAGGGCCTGCAACAAGAACTGTAAGTTTTCAGCAAACGAGCCGAAAACTTTGTCTCCCACCGTGTTTTCCAGATGCAGCTGCCTGGTGATTTCTTTCAGTGCTATTCTGTCGTCTGTTTGAAGGTAACCTGAAAGAATGATCAGTCTGTGAGTCAAAGAATCTGATGGATAATGATTTTACTGAAAAATTTTTTTTCCAAAGATTACAATTGTAAATGACAGCAAGGAAACCACTAGTATGTGATTTCTTTAACACACATTACATTACATTATATGATATTGTGGTACCATTTTTCACCAGAAACAGGGCAAAGTAATATTGGGTTAATTAATGTTCCCATGTAAGCAAAAGAAGCCTGCAATACTGAACAATTTACACCTGGCATTTATGGATCTGCTCAATCCTGAACAGATCTTCCCTCCTTGGAGAGCAACCCAAGTTGTGGCACAGTGTAAAAGCATTTAGAACTGCCAACACTAAAATGACTGACGAAAATGTCCGATTGTTTCTTTACGACGTAAAAATAGTTTGTGACAAAAGATCAATCACAACCAACTACCATCAAGAATGACACCCCCTCCACTAGAGGACAGCACTCTAGAGGATGAGCTACCTGTTCTTTGAGCACTTACCATTTAAAGTCACCTGCATACAGTTTTCCTTCACATCTTTCTGCTGATTGATCTCCTCTAACACACTGCTGAGAACCTTCAAATACAAACAGAACACTTACATTGATTTGAACACATTCACTCAGACATATTTCACACAGTTTATAAATTGGCAGTTTAGACCATTCTTTCATTTACTTTAACACTGTTATGCAATGGGCTTTTATTTGAATTGTAAAACTGATTTTTTGTCTCAAACCATCCTTGTGATTGCTCCATCGATTGTGCATTATCATGCTTGATTTCAATGTAACTCAAACCACAAACATCCCAACCCATCCCATGCTTTAGGCTTTATAAAGTTATAATTATTTCCTATAACTGATTATCTGGAGCCTTTATTCATACTGGTTTGTAACAGATTAATGCATAAAAGAAATTAAGTGGACTGCAGATATTGGCAAATATTTGGTATAATTCTAAAAAATTATAAATATCTTTAGATTTAAACTGATCTTCACAAATACCAACCATGGATTTCCCTGCTCCGCGGGGTCCTATAATCAGAACTGAGTTGCTCTCTCCCAGGGAGGCCGTCCTCTTTACCAAGTCTAACAGCACACTGGACAAGATAAAATAGTAATATTTTTCATGAAATTGTCTAAAACAATATGTTACAAAAATTAATCTTAAATCAAAATTTTTGACGAAGTGAAACAAATCAAAAACCTGTTGAGGTGATTACCAAATCCAGACAAATAGTCTTACATGCTCAGTAAAATCAAAATTATAATGTTTATGTAAAATCATGAAGGGGCAGAGCAAATACAAGTACATTGACTCACTAGGTTGAAAATAAAATA